GAGCCACTGGTCCAGAATATTGAATCTTAAAGGAACACAGAAAAATCTGGCGCATGAGCATTTCCAGATAGTTGTTTCAATATAATCTGAAGACAAGTGTTTGCATCTAAATATCTACCCTGCGAATTCCATCTGATTTCACTACAAAGTGGAAGAAAAGGGAATGAGTGGAGGAGATGGCGATGGGAAATTAAAGTAGGAGATTTAAGTAAATGCAACTGGAAAATCCAAAGAAAAATGCTCCAGGGTACTTGCCAGTCTCTTGATTAAAATGATTACGTGACATTCAGGTCATGTAACGTAACCCCTGAATGGCTCTCCCCGGGGTCATGTGTCTATGTCAATACCAGAACATTTGTTCCCTGATCTACCTTTTCCAAAGCAGATAACAAACTGGGAATTTTTAAACCTTTTGGTAATTTGCTAAATTTTTCAATTTTCCCATATTTGGGGCTCTCGGTAGATCCAACCTGACCTCCCTTCACCCCAAAGTGTAGGATAATGGAAACCTGGCTTGAGAGCTCCTGAGATTCAATTAGAATATGTCAATGAATGGGCTGGCCCAACACTGAGCTTGGGCAGCTGGCACAGGTGTAGAGAGACTGTTTTCCATTAGCTCAGGTCCTCAGGTCAAGGCCACTGGTATACTCGTCTGCAGTTTTTATACTGAAATCCCACCGGGGCTGCTCACCTCTCAGTCCAATCTCTTTATTACAACTGCTGCTGCCTTTGACCGTCAGCCCTATTTCTTGCCTCGATTACTGCAAAGCCTTTTCTGTCTCATGCAAACTTGCTCTTGAAGCCCCGACCCCCAAGAAACACAGGATGAAGTGCAGATCCACAGGACGGTCTATACAGCACTTAAGTACTGACTTACCTGACTGCCGCTTCTATCTCTAGCTCCATCCTCAGGTTACTGTCCCACACCTGCCCCACATCCCTACCATTCTGACCTGACCACCACTCATTGAGCGTGTCATGGTGTTTCCTGGTTCCCTGCCTTTGACTCTGCAGTTTCCTCCGTGTGATGTGTCTTCTCCCTTTCCCTTTGCCATTCAGCTGCTCAACCCTTACTCTTCCTTCCCAGCACAACCCAAACGTCTCCCGCTTTGTTTCCTGATTCCAGCCCTGCCCTGCAGTGGCATTGGACATTCTGTTCCTTATGCTCTTACTGGCTTACTTAGTATGCGTCTCTGTTTTCACACTTGCTATTCTATATTGCAGTTACTCGTGTCCCTCTCTCCAGCCTTGGACACTGAAGTGTGTTTAGTTATTTTCGTATCATTTTCCTAGCATAGTTCTCAGTACAGGGTGTGACACATAGTAGGTACTCAAATATATCTACTGGATGGAAGAATGAATGAATGTATTAATGAGTACATTTATGGATAGATGGATGGATGGATGGATGGATTAATGTGTGCCTGGATGAATGTATCGATGGATTGATGGATGGATGTATAAATGCATTGATGGATAGATGAATAGATAGGTAGATGGGTGCATGTATTGATGGATAGATAAATGGATGGATGGATTAATGTGTACCTGGATGAATGTATCAATGGATTGATAGATGGATGGATGGATAAATGTATTGATGGATGGATGAATAAATGGGTAGATGGGTGAATGTACTGATGGATGGCTGTATAAATGTATTGTTGGATGGATGAATAGATGGCTAGATGGGTGAATGTATTGATGGATGGTTGGATAAATGTATTGTTGGATGGATGAATAGATGGGTGGATGGGTGAATGTATTGATGGATGGATGAATAAATGGGTAGATGGGTGAATGTACTGATGGATGGCTGTATAAATGTATTGTTGGATGGATGAATAGATGGGTAGATGGGTGAATGTATTGATGGATGGATGAATAAATGGGTAGATGGGTGAATGTACTGATGGATGGCTCTATAAATGTATTGTTGGATGGATGAATAGATGGGTAGATGGGTGAATATATTGATGGATGGATGAAATAGATCGGGTGAATGTGTTTGATGGATGGAATGAATAGATGATGATAGATGGGTAGATGGGTGAATGTGTTGATGGATGGATGAATAGATGGGTAATGGGTGAATTATTGATGGATGGATGAATAGATGGGTAGATGGGTGAATTATTGATGGATGGATGAATAGTATGGGGTAGATGGTGACATGTATTGATCGGATGGAGTGAGATAGATAGATGGGTAGATGGGTGAATGTATTGATGGATGGATGAATAGATGGGTAGATGGGTGAATGTACTGATGGATGGATGAATAGATGGGTAGATTGGTGAATGTATTGATGGATAGATGGGTAGATGGGTGAATGTGTTGATGGATGGATGAATAGATGGGTAGATGGGTGAATGTACTGATGGATGGATGAATAGATGGGTAGATGGGTGAATGTACTGATGGATGGATGAATAAATGGGTAGATGGGTGAATGTGTTGATGGACGGATGAATAGATGGGTAGATGGATGAATGTATTGATGGATGGATGAATAGATGGGTAGATGGGTGAATGTGTTGATGGATGGATGAATAGATGGGTAGATGGGTGAATGTACTGATGTATGGATGAATAAATGGGTAGATGGGTGAATGTGTTGATGGATGGATGAATAGATGGGTAGATGGATGAATGTATTGATGGATGGATGGCACTTCTGGTGATGATCTGTTGACATAGTCACCAAACATTAACTGAGTCCATACAGTATGCCAGACAATGTGACAGGGTTAAATATAACCATGGGAAACAGAATCAAAATGTCAGCTTGAAAAATAAAAACAACTTAATTAGGTCCCACATGGTTACTCTGAAGGCCCACTAATAATGAGGAATTTGACTGAAGTTCAGTTCTCCTCTAAACCTCGGTCCCATGCAGATGTCGCTGTAAGGTCTCAATAAGGGATGTGAAGTGGAATGCTTCCAGGTGTGCCTGTCTGGAACACGTTCCTTTAGCTCATCAAACTCCAGCCAGGCAACATCAAAGGGAATAAAGAACAGGAAAAAAAAAACACAAAACAGTTTGAATTATCTAGATAGTGAATATTTTTTTTCCAAAATATTAAAGGAGTACAAATGTTTTTGTTACATGGATGCCTTTTATAATGCAAAGTCAGGGATTTTAGTGTGTGCATCAGCAGACTATAGTGTTTGTTGTGTCCGATAGGTAAGTTTTTACCCCTTCCTTGATTTCTAATAACCTTTACATCTCTTTGTGCCCCATGTGTGCTCATCCATCAGCTCCCAGTTATTAGAGAGAACATGTGTGTTTATTTTTCCATTTCTGGGATTCTTTACTTAGGATAACGGTCTCCAGTTCCATCTAGGTTGCTGCAAAAGACATTATTTCATTCCTTTTTTATGGCTAAGTAGTACCCCATGATATATACTAATACATATCACGTTTTCTTAATCCACTCATACATCGATGGGCACTTAGGTTGATTCTACATCTTTGCAATTGTGGGTTGTGCTGGGATAAACATTTGAGTGCAGGTGTCCTTTTGATAAGAAAGACTTCTTTTCCTATGGGGAGATACCCACCCATGAACAAAAATAGCGATGTTCTCTTCAAGTGCACAGAAACATTTTTTACTTCTGCTTCTATTGGCAGCGGACCTGAGTAACTGACTCTTCTGCTTAAAACCTTTCGTGGATGCCCGTGGCCTTCTGAACAAAGTCCAAACCCTTTAGCGTGTCGTACAAGGTCCCTTATGGTCTGGCTTCATGGATCCTCTGCAGACCCATCCCACTGCACATAATGCAGCCGCCAGCCTCACTAGGTGTCCCCTATTCCCCCAGGGTGTGCCAGGACCTTTGCCGGCTCTTCCCTTTAGACGACCCCTCTGTTCAGAATGCTCCCTCCCACCTCTCCTCCACCCCCTCACCCTTCAAGATTCCCTGGGAAGCTCTGCCTAGATCCCCCAGCTCGGGTGAGGGGCCCTTCCTCTGTGTTCTCACAACTTCTCACACTCTCCCTGGGTGCACAAGCGGCATCGTAGGTGTTGCTGCTGTCCGTGCGCCTGTGTCGTCGAATCGTAAGGATGTGGGCAAGAGGGTGGACGAGCGCTGTGTTTGTCATTCCCGTGTCCGCAGGATTTGCCGTTAGGCCTGACACTTAACAGATATCCGGTAACCAGTGGTTCAATCAAGAAAGTATCACCTACGACGCGATCTGAGACACTCCAAACGCACCAAATAAAATAACGATTGCTCTTTTCTCTTTCTAGACTAGCAGCGTTTTATCTGTCTTTTTTGTTAAGGCATTTGATTGCAGAGAATTTGAAAACTACAAAGGCACACAAAAGAAAATGCAAAATACCTGTAATCCTTGCATGCATAGATAAGCTCTATTTTCATTCTCTTTTCTGCTTTGGTGATATTCAACAGCGAGCATTTTTTCCATGTCATTAGCTTGTCTTCAAGAACATGACTTGGAATGATCCTCAGAGTCCATTGAATATTAACAGATTCACAGCACTGTTCCTTGCCTTTCCCCCAGTCTCTTCACCTTGTCCTTGGAGACTGGGTTCTCCCCCGTACCGCACTGTCAGACTCGTCTGTATCGTGGTGGCCCAGGGACGGACATATGACCCGCTAGGCCAGTCTCTCTTTTTGGAATTTCTTGCAGCCCGGTTGTCCTCCTTGGTGGCTTCCTTCTTCAGCTGCTGTTGGTGTTAGTGGAGTAGGAAGCAAGAAAATGCTACGGCTTCGAGATACCTTTTCTTTCTGGGGAAGCCTTTGAATGCATCAGTCCACCACACTGTGTTTACCGTGTGTCTGCTAAGTGGCCACCGCCGTGTTGCCTTAGATGTCGTTAAAGACATCTAACCCTTCCGCAGAGACAGGCTGCTTGTGACGGATCGCAGCATCGTACGTTTACGGTTTTTCAGGGTTACACAGATGATGGCAATCTGGTTATTTGTTTGACCTCTTTAATTCTTCCCTAAAAATTTGTCTTTCTCTCTTCCTCTTTCTAGATTTATGGTCAACGTGACATGGGGTGGCAAAGACCTGTCCTTCACCGAGGAAGGCTACCAGGTGCACCCCCGGCTGGTGGTGATTGTGCTGAACAAGGACCGAGAGTGGGAAAAGGTGAGCAGCCTCCTGCGTGCCCCAGGCAGGGAGGGAAGAAAGCGTGGGCAGTAAAAGGGGCCCAGACTGCTTCTTTTACGAAACCTTTTCTCCTGAGATGTCTGGACCCTGTCCCACAGCCAAGAGCAGCCCTGTGTTGGAACAAGGCAGCCTGAATAGCGTACGCTGCAATTGGAATGCTTTCCCTGGGTGAGCCGTGGTAACTGCGCGCTATTCCCCACGTGGGCTCTCAAATCCCAGTAGGAAGGGTCCAGACTTGGGATATTTAAAGCCAGTGAAGCTTGGTTTGCAGCGCTGCCATAGCAAATGTTGACTGTATAGCAAGGATCACACCAGTTTGCCTAAGCCTCATCACTGTGTGCCATACCCACCATTTTGGCAGATGGATAGACCCACTGTATTTTCATTTACTTAGTCTTCTACTTTAAATACACTAATTTTCAAAACTTAAACCTATCACTTCTGTAAACTGTAGGTTGGAGAGAGAGAGGTTTTATTTCTTGTAAAGCACATTTTCTAGTACATACATATCAGCTATTGAAAAATGTAAAAATTTAGTGTGCAGAGAAAAAAAGTATCTAATGTACTGCACAAGCCATGACCTGAGCCAGAGAGGAGAGACTTCATGGGGCATTTACAGATGATCTCATACAAACAGTGGCAATATCTGACCCAGTCGCACTCTCTTCTCCCTCCATAATTCAACTCTTAAATTAGTCGCTACAGTATCCCATAAAGGGCAGGAATAAGGACCAAGAGGGAAGCCTGTATTATTATCTTGTCTTTTTTGGCAACCAAGGCATGACCTCTCAAGTACTTCAACATTTTGAGATTTAGCTTCATTTTGCACATCGATGGAGCCTGAGTGACCCGAGAGGGGAGGAAGATACAGGATGTGGGGTGGGAGGCATAATACAGCTCACTGGAATTGGGAGAAAATACACGCAAACAGAAGCGTTGACTTTGGGGAGACAAGGACAGAGTCCTAGAAGGGAATGGTGAAGAGGATGCTTAGGAAAATTTTGCTACATCCAACAGCTACAAAATACACATTCCACAGTGCACCTGGTCAATCCACCAAAGTAGACTACTTTCTAGAGCACAAAGTAAGTCTCAATATATTTAGAAGGACTGAAATAATGCAGAATGCATTTTTTTTTTACCACAACAGTGTTAAAATAAAAGTTAGTAACAAAAACATATCTAGAAAAATGCCTAAGTGTTTGAAAAATTACAATATATTTCTAAATAATCTACAGGTCAAAGAAGAAATCAGAAAATATTTTGGACACTGGAAAATATTTTGAACAGAATTGTAGCGAACATGCAATATATCAAAATTTGAAGAGTAAAATTGAATACTTATTAAGAGGGGAATTCGTAGCTTTAAATGCTTATAATTAAGAAAAAAAGGGCAGCCTAACGTCAATGATTTAAGCTTCTAAATTAAGAAGCTAGAAAAAGAAGAGCAAAATAAACTCAAATGAAGTAGAAGGAAAAAAATAATAAATATAAGAGTAAAAATCAACAAAGTAGAACACAAGCTAAAGAAAAAAGTCAACAAAGCCAAAAGCTAGTTCTTTGAAATGATTAATAAAATTCATAATTCCTAGCAATAACGATCACACAAAAGTGAGAAAACACAAATAACCAATATTAAAAATGCAAGAGGGAATAGCATCACAGACAGTACAGATCCTACAGGCATTAAAATGATAAAAAAGAATATTATGAAAAATTTATGCCAACAAATTAGACAATAAAGATAAAAAGAATAAAGTCCTTGAAGAAACACAATTTTCCAAAACTGACCTAAGAAGAAATTGACAATCTGAATAGCTCAATATTTGCTAAAACATTGAAAACATACCTAAAAGCTTTTGCACTTAAAAATAGGCAAAAGAACAAACTCCTGGCCCAGTGGGCTTCATTGTATTAATATAGTCTATCAAACATTTAAAAATACAATGCCAATCTACACAAAGTATTTCAATATATTACTAATCATAATCCAACAGTGTAACTTTTTTAGTTGAAAACTATAATTTCTATAAGTCTTATATCTTTTTTTAAATTTTCAGAATATTATGGGGGTACAAACATTTTGGTTACCTATAATGCCTTTGCCTCACCCAAGCTAGACCTACAAGAATGCCCTTCCCCTGTACAGTGTACTCCGCATCCATTAGTTGTGAATTTACTCACACCCACCACCCTCCTTCCACCTGACCGGCACCCAGTGAACATTACTACCATGTGAGCACCTTAGTGTTGATCACTTAGTACCCATTTGATGGCGAGTACATATGGTGCTTGTTTTTCCATTCTTGGGATACCTCACTTTGAAGTATGGGCTCCAGCTCTATCCAGGATAATATAAGAGGTGCTAGTTCACCATTGCTTTTTCTAGTTGAGTAGAACTCCATGGTATACATATACCACATTTTATTAATCCACTCATGTATTGGTGGGCACTTGGGTTGTTTCCACAGCTTTGCAATTGTGAATCGTGCTGCTGTAAACATTCGAGTGCAGATGTCTTTATTATAGAATGCCTTTTTTTTTTCCTTTGGGTAGATGCCTAGTAGTGGGATTTCTGGATCAAATGATATTTCTATTTTTAGCTCTTTGAGGTATCTCCAAATTATTTTCCACAGCAGTTGTACTAATTTGTGGTCCCACCAGCAATGTAAGAGTGGTCCAATCTCTCCACATCCATGCCAGCATTCCCTGTTTTGGGACTTTTTGATAAAGGCCATTCTCACTAGAGTTAGGTGATATCTCATTGTGGTTTTGATTTGCATTTCCCTAATGATTAGAGATGTTGAGCATTTTTTTTTATATGTTTGCTGGCCATTATTCTGTCTTCTTTTGAAAAGTTTCTGTTTATGTCCTTTGCCCATTTATTGATGAGGTTGATTTTTTTTTTACTCATTTTCTTAAGTTCTGTATAGATTCTTGTTATCAGCCCTCTATCACATGTGTAGAATGCAAATATTTTCTCCCATTCTGTAGGTTGTCTATTCACTATAATGTTAGTTTCCTTGGCAGTGCAGAGCTTTTTAATTTGATCAGGTCCCATTTATTTATTTTTGTTGCTGCTGTGATTGCTTTGGGGGTCTTCTTCATAAAGTCTTTGCCTAGGCCATCTTAAAAAGGATAATGCCTAACAGATAAGTGAAGTTTATCTTAGAAAGACAAGATCGGTTTAACATTCAAAAAATAAATCAATGTAATTTATCATATTAACAGAATAAAGGAGAAAATTATTATAACATATGGTCATCTCCATAGATGCAGAAAAAGCATTTGACAAAATTCAGCATCTATTCATGATAAAGAAGGTAGATTCCTCAATCTGACAAAGGATATCTATGAAAACCCTATAACTAATATCTTATTTAATGATGATATAATGAAAACAGATTCACAAATGCAATTCAAGTGATTTTGGATGAATGATTACAACAACATGAAAAAGGAAAGTCTTTTCAATGAATAGTATGAGATCAAGTGGATATCCAATGGGGGTAAAAATAAACCTTGACCCACTGTTCACACTGCACACAAAAAATTACTTGAAATAAATTGCAGGATTATCTGTAAAAGCTAAAACTACAAATTTCTGGAAGAAAATATAGGAGAATGTTTTTGTGATCTGAGAGAGCCCCAGATTTCTTAAACAGAATGCAAAAAACATTAAACCAACAGTAAAAATAATAAACTTTATAAACTTTACTCCATCAAATTTGAAAACTTTTGCTTGTGTAAAGATGTTAGAAAATGAAAAAGACAAGTTACACATTGGGAGAAAATATTAACAATACAAATATATTACAAAGAACTCATATCCAGAATATGTAAAAAAAAAAAAAACTCCTACAAATCAATAATAAAAAGAGAAATATAGCATAACTAAAAGTGGGAAATTGACTCAGATAAACACCTCATGAAAAATATTATTCAAATGGCTAATACATACATGAAAACATGCCGAAGAACATCATTGGCCATCAGGGACATGCAAATTAAATCCATAAAAATAAAAATAAAAAATTGACGATACCAAATATTGGTGAGGACGTGGGGAAACTGAATCTCTTACGCACTGCTGGTGGGAATCTAAAATTACAAGCAATGTGAAATACCATTTGGCAGTTTTTTATAAGGTTAATCATACACACACCTTATGATCTAGCAATTTCACTCCTAGTGATTTATCCCAAAGAAACGTAAATATATGTCATGAAAGTAATACTTGTACAAGAGAACATTTGTTGCAACTTTATTCATAATATAGCAAAACATAAGAAACAGCTCACATGCCCATCAACAATGAAATGGATATTTAAATTATGGCATATTCATAAAATGGAGTGCTACTCACTAATAAAAAAGAATGAACTGCTAATACGCACAACAACATGGCTGAATTTCAAAAACATGGAACAAAGGAAGACAGACATAAGAGATTATACTGTGTGATTCCCTTTGAGTAACGTTCAGAAAGAGGCAAAACTTGCCTTTGGGGCTAGACATCAGAATGGTGGTCGCTTCTGTGGGGTAGGACCATCGTCACAGGGAGTTTTCTAGAGTGATGGCAACGTTCCCTGTCTCAAATACTTGTCACAATTCATCAAACTATGATACAAGATCCATTTATTTCATTGCATGTCATTGTACTTAATTTTAAAAAAATTAAATCCTTCCAATTAGGATACTTGGTGCAATTAACTAATGATTTTTGCTAAGTATTCATATTTAACCCCTAGACAGGAATATTCATTATAATAACAATAGCCGTTGTTTGCCGATCACTTATTCTATTTTTCCTTTAGGTGATCTACCAAAGCACTAACTTAGTGCTTCATTTATTCATCTATCCATTCAACAAATATTTATTCAGTGCCTACTGTGTACCAGGCACTATTCATGATGCTTGGAATCCGTCAGTGAACAGGGAAAAAATAATTTCTGTACTCAGGGAGCTTAGATTCTAG